AGAGACGGGGTTTCACCGTGTTGACCAGGATGGTCTCGATCTCTTGACCTTGTGATCCACCCGCTTTGGCCTCCCAAAGTGCTGGGATTACAGGCGTGAGCCACCGCGCCCGGCACTTTTTGTGTTTTTTAAGTAGAGATGGGGTTTCACCATGTTGGCCAGGCTGGTCTCAACCACCTGACCTCAGATGATCCGCCCGCCTCAGCCTCATAAAGTTGTGAGCCACTGTACCCAGCCAGCATTTTCTTTTAGTTCCACAAAGGTCTATCACCTTGCTATGCTTTGGCTGTGTGTGTAGCATGACCCAAGTGCTACCTACCATTCCACCACACATTTACAAAAGTCTGGCAACAAAAGGAAACTCATCAGAAACTCTAGAATTATTCTTCCAAATGATTAAACACTAGTAATATATTAAGGTACAAGAAGCATTGTTGCCAAAATAATTGCTGAATTATCTTCCTAACTTCACTTTTTTATTTTGCCATCACAATTTCTCTATTGAGTAAAAATTATTTTATTAAATACTTAGGGCTGTTAGATCTGGGGAAGAGTGATTATGTATTTTAAACTTGGTTTGCAGTTTTACTTGGTTCAGTAAATCATCAGGTTCTGATTAGGATAATCTAGAAAAATTATCATTAACTTGTTTATAGGAAGTCCTGACTTCAACCATGGAATAGCTTTAAAGACTTGGGCATATAAGGCCTGGTGTTGTGGCTCACGCCTATCATCCAAGCACTTTGGAGGCCACGGCGGGCGGATCACCTGAGGTCAGGAGTACAAAACCAGCCTGACCAACATGGTGAAACCCTGTCTTAAAAAAAAAAAAAAAAAAAAGACTTGGGCATATATAAAGACCCTAATAACTATCCACGGCTTAAAAATATTTATATACTGGGCCAGGCGCGATGGTTCATGCCTGTAATCCCAGCACTTTCAGAGGCTGAGGCAGGTGAATTAAGAGGTCAGGAGATTGAGACCAGCCTGGCCAACACGGTGAAACTCTGTCCGTACTAAAAATACAAAAATAATTAACCAGGTATGGTGTCACACACCTGTAATCCCAGCTACTCAGGAGGCTGAGGCAGGAGAATTGCTTGAGGCTGAGGCAGGAGAATTGCTTGAGGCTGAGGCAGGAGAATTGCTTGAACCTGGGAGGCGTGGGTTACAGTGAGCCAAGATCATGCCACTGCACTCTAGCCTGGGTGACAGAGCAAAACTCCCATCTCAGAAAAACAACAGCAACTAGATTGAAATATAACACATATCAGTGGTTTTCAAGTTGCTCCCTGGATTCCTCCACTAGACAACACATTTCTTGAGGGCATAAATCAGTGTCAGATTCTTCTTTGTACTATCTTTCTTGTTTTGTTATATATGAATATATATAACATTATACCCTTATATACCTTTAGCTTATGCATTACCTCATATATTCCATGATGCCCTGAAGAGTCAGTTCATGAATCATAACATTATATTACAATTTGCTGTACTAATTTGTTATATTACAATATTGTGTGAGCTCTTTACATGCATTATTTCATTTGATACTTAGAACTGTCCTGTGAAGGACAGATACTAGCATTGTTGTTCTAATTGTACAGATAAGTAGTAATTGCCCAAGTTCACATGGTGAGTGGCAGAGCTGGGATTGGAACCTAAATTGTCTGATTGTAAAACCTGTGTACTTCACAACTATTCTTTGTTGCTGTAAAGACCCTCAGAAGTCATCTGGGCTAGCCCTTGCAATTTCTAGAAAAAGGAGCTAAGTCCCAAAATGATGATGATGTGCTCATAGTCAAAGGGTAACTCATTGTCGGAGTCAGACATGGAGATGAGATTTTCTGGCTGCCAGTCAAGTGATGGAAGAAGGTGATACCAAATCCTCAGAGGACTCCCTTTCTTGAATAAGATAGAATGAGCGCCTCAATTTAGGTTTAAAACAGGTTTTTAATTTCAATTTCATTTTCTAAGAACAGAATGCTTTAATTACAAAATAATTGCTGAATTATCTTCCTAACTTCACTTTTGAATAATCCCTTAACTAAGTTATTTAAATAATGTATTGTCAACTAAGCCTTCCCTTCCCCTTCCCCTCCCCTCCCCTCCCCTCCCCTCCCTTCCCCTTCCTTTCGCCTCCTCCTCCCCTCCCCTCCTTCCTTTCCCTTCCCTCAAAAAGAAAAATCGAAGTTTTACTTTTAAAAATTATAGCTCTATATGGAGATACTTCAAAAAGCCATTTTCTTAGGGAAATAGATTATCTCGGCTGGGTGCAATGGCTCATGCCTGTAATTCCAGCACTTTGGGAGGCTGAGGTGGGTGGATCATGAGGTAAGGAGTTGTAGACCAGCCTGGCCAACATGGTGAAACCCCATCTCTGCTAAAAATATAAAAATTAGCTGGGCATGGTGGCGTGCATCTGTAATCCCAGCTACTTGGGAGGCGGAAACAGGAGAATTGCTTGCTCCACCCAGAGGTGGAGGTTGCAGTGAGCTGAGATCATACCACTGCACTCCAGGGCAACAGAGCAACACTCTGTCTCAAAACAAAAAAAAAGAGAGAAATAGCTTATCTGTAGGACATAAAATTCAGACTCACAGCCTATTGAAGAAAATGTTCCAACCAAGGTTTGCACTGACAGTGGAAGCAAATTCTTTTTTTTTTTTTCTTTTGAAATGGAGTCTTGCTCTGTCACCCAAGCTGGAGTGCAATGGTGCTATCTCAGCTCACTGCAAGCTCCACTCCTGGATTCAAGCAGTTCTCCTGTGTCAGTCTCCCCAGTAGCTGAGATTACAGGTACATACTGCCATGCCTAGCTAATTTTTTATATTTTTAGTAGAGATGGAGTTTCACCATATTCCCTATGCTGGTCTCGAACTCCTGAGCTCAGGCAATACATACACCCGCGTCAGCCTCCCAAAGTGCTAGGATGACAGGCATGAGCCACCACGCCCAGCCGCAAATTCTTTTTTTACTTTTAATTTTGCAGATATTTGAAAAGGACATGCATTAAACTACTAGACAGTAGTTTAATTGTAGTTAATATGCAAGATACTCCATTTATCTTAGCTTCCGTTTCCTCCTATGTAAAAGGGAACACCTACCCAACCCATCTCGTGGTGTTGAAATGAGTGTTGAATGAGATGATGTACACAAAAGGGTTTTGTAAATTGTGAGTTGCTAACACAAACGTAAGTTGTTAGTGATATAATCTGGGTATTATAACATGATTCTCATTTTGTTTACCAGCCACTTATGAATCAGTATTGTTCCATCAACTACAAGAAATAAAGGAAGTTCAGCGAGATGAAGCTCTCCAACTGCCAAAAGACCTAGATTATTTGACTGTCAGGGATGTGTCTTTGTCCCATGAAGTTCGAGAGAAACTACATTTTAGTCGTCCACAGACGGTAAGAAAATAGGCAGGGGAATAGGAACAAGTTAAAGATCCAGTGCTTTCATTTTTTTAAACCTGGGGTTACAATGGCCATGTAACTAATGTTTTATTTAATAATAAGAAACTTCCAGCCTGGGCAACACAGCAAGACCCTATCTCTATAAAGATACAGAAATTAGCTGGGCATCATGGCATGCACCTGCAATGCCAGCTACTCAGGAGGCTGAGGTGGAGGATCACCTGAGCTCAAGACACTGAGGCTGCAGTGAACCATGATTCTGCCACTGCACTCCAGCCTGGGCAACAGAGTGAGACTCTGTCTCAAAAAAAAAAAAAAAAATTTGACCTCAGATTTTTTTGCTATATTTCTATGTAGGACAGATGTTGGTATGTCTGTATCTGCATGACAAATGATAAAGCTTGACTTTAAGTAAATAATTGGAAGTCAATAATTGGTTTGATTGGAACTATTCTCTAGTCCCAATCATGTGATAAACCATCAGTGCAAATGATGCAAGATAGTATATATGTATGGCTTAAAGGAAACCAGATGATTAAAATATAACACACATTAGTGGTTTTCAAGTCACTACTTGGATTCCTCCCCAGGAGTTCCATAGTGTTGCCTTGGGAACTAATGGGAGAAAGGGGTGCCAGAGTGCACCCACCACATGCTTCAGACTAATTGTGAGAGGATGTGTGTATGTTCCTTTGTGTAAGCAAATAAAACCTTTAAGTTATTGTATAGTAATTAGTGTTGGACTTCTAATAAATGTTTAAAGACTGAGAAACTATACTTACTGATTCTGAGATGCACTTTTTTCCACATTTTAACATCTCTAAAATTGTATCTTTAATATCTCAAAAATAGATGGTGTGTCATAGTTTAATGGGCAGCATTTTTTGTAGTGATTCATAAAATAAAGGAGTATATTATAAAAATATAGACTATAGAAAAATTTGAAGAAAAAACCATTTTTACAAGGAGGAGTGATTTTATTAATAAAACATGGTATTCTTAGCAATAGTCATCATGGAAACCAGGAAAATAAGACTTACATTTTATAATTTTGTCCCTTCCTATTGATTTCAGATTACGTTTGTGTGGATAATCATAGGCTACACTGCCCAACATGTTAGCCACTTGCTCATTGTAGTTATTTACATTAATTAAAATTAAATAGGCCAGGTGCAGTGGTGTGTACCTGTAGTCACAGCTACTTGGGAGGCTGAGGTGGGAGGAGCTCCTGAGCCCAGGAGGTAGAGGCTGCAGCAAGTCAAGATTGTACCACTACACTCCAGCCTGGGTGACAGAGTGAGACTTGCCTCAAAAA